GGTTTACCTGTCCTGATGGGGGCCCCGGGCAGCCGGCAGGTTTACCTGTCCTTACGGGACGCCTCTGCCTTCTCTTCTCAGGGCTTACAGAGGCCTTAGACTTCTACATGATGACACACATCAATAGAAAAGATGACAGCAGACCTTGGATGTTATTTTTCAGATAAGACAGGTTCACACTTCCTAAAGAGGTTCTAATCATTGGCATCTAATCTGGAATCCCTGCCTCTAGCTTCATGGATTGGAAGGTGTGATAATTGTATGGGTGTTCTTACTCTTGTCACGTCAATGATCTGCTCCTGCACCATTCATTTCCCGATGTCGGAGACCTCTTGGGGTCAGGACGTCAACAGTAATTGTAAGTCAATGCATCGTCCTAACAGCTGCGAACTTGCATGCGTGTTCTGTCTATTCCAGATCACATCACAGAAATGATGACCACACCACAGCAACGTTCATTGCAAACCTGTTACATGTTTAATGACACCCATATATTTTTAAACACTGGAACATATCATAAAATAATATTAAAAGGCAAAATATCTGTTGTAGCTGTTCACCTACAGCTGGTGCCACTTACATTCAAACATTTACACACAAACACGGCTCTCTGATATATGTTTTACTTTACATTTACACATCTGTTATTTGATATTAAATTCAGAACAGAGAAAGACTGACATTAAAAACACCAGAACATTTCAGGCGTCCAACCTGTAAACAGTTGAGGAAGAGCTCCAACTCGGCTTTGTACCTAAAAAATTAAATATTCTAATGTCACTGCCCGACTGCAGAAACAAACCTCAAAGTCAACCTTCTGGACAACTGCACATCATATGTCACCCTCACTTTGTAAGAACTGAAGAGTAAATACATGCTGACAGTGAATCCTGACAAATGCAGTCATGAACATGATCATACGTGAGAATCTGCATCCCTGTGGTACCAGATCAACTCCACAGTGCCGACGTTTAGGATTCCACTCATGCTTCTCTGACAAGGCCACTCACTGAAGATGCTGTACCAAAAAAACTGTACGTGATCAATACATAATGGTCACTGGTTTTTAACAAATACTGTGGGATCATTTCAAGTGCTTTAAACAGAGACTTGGATAATACCAGCCATCGTACTCACAGTCTGAAAAGATTCAGCTTTAGGTTTGCTAAGCATAGAGTCCAGGATGTGGTTAGCCCACATTAGCCCAAAGACCAGGTGCATGTGGATTACACGAGCTCGTTAGCTCAGTCCATCAACTCCCAGTTACTGAACAGCTGCAATATCTGATTAGGTAGCAACTGAGTCACCAGGCCAGCCCTCCAAACACACAAAGAACTGGCTTGATTTAGGCAGACATAGGCTACAGTTGAACTAAGACCAGAATTTGACTTTCTGTTATCTTGTTTTCCCTTAAAATTTATTATGACAAGAAAATAAAAATAAAAATGATGTAAAATTCAAAAAGGTGCAACAAAACAATGCAAAAACCAGATCAAGCTGAAGCTCACCTGAGCTCAAGTTTAAACCCTCCAGTGACTTAGTCATAGGTGCATAAATAACTTTCTTTTAGTGCCATTCGTAGTCTCAGCTGTGGTCTCTACCACATCTGGAGCAAACATGTGGCTCCTCTGCTGCTAAGTGCTTCTTCATGCTCATCAGTTCGTCTCTAACTGTCTGTCTGCTGTTTACCGCCCAGCAGGTAGCGAGCAGCGGCTCTGAAGGACAGATGTTTGATTCAAATAGCTGCCAGCTGTGGCTACAGAGCAAATTAAATAGAGTTTGATTTGATTTGATTTTACAAAACAACCCTGTGAGGGCAGAGACAGTGAACCAAGAAAATAAACAATGAGATTAAACTGGACATTCAGACAAAGGATGTCCGTGGGTACGTTGCATCCTTTCACATTGCAGCATGTCATCACACTGCAGTCTGACCCAGTTTAACTAGAACGTGCATGAAATTCTGGACATACAACAGATGTCAGTACATCCATGTGCAATATCGTTTAATGTGAAAGGGCTAAAAGCTAGACGACCTCTTCACTCCTACATTAGTTTTAGGTGACGTAATTCTTCTTATAAGCAATCAAAGCGTAATTCTTTCGATGTTGAAATACAGGCACCGAAGCAGAAAGTCAGTGCAGCAGAAGTGAATAGACCCCTGGTCACTGAAACACACACAAGAAATCTGTCACTGATGAAGCAAAATTCAACGTACTTGTGATTTTCAATTAGCTTAAATGTACAGCTACAAAATCATCTGTGGATATGATTGTTGTTCTGCATTCTGGACCTGTAGGTTCTGTTTATCTACATTTTACATCACGTCTCCGTGTGAAAAACAGTTACTGGATCAATAGAAAAGTCTGATTGTGAGGCTTCATAAAGATGGAAAGGGACAGAGAAAACATCGGTGAGCAACTAGAAATCAGTGGGAATCAGGAGGTTAGGATGAGGACCAGGACCACGAACCAGAGCAGCAGTGTGCGTCTTCCCAAAAGGATGCCATCAACAGGCCACTACATGCACACTCTGGCTGTGATGAATGGACAGGCAGGGCCGTCAGACATGGTGAGACTAAGCATGAATGAAGGTTGAAAATCACTGGGATACGTTTGTTCTGCTCAGATGGGGTCCAGTATATCTGTACTGAGGACTACCGTAGTGATTGCATCGGTGGGAGAGTCATGATACGGGCTGCATGAGTACAAAAGGGTTTGAAAAGATGACATCAGTAGATGGCACCATGACCGCCTGTAGATATCCTGAAGTCCTGCCTGACGAGAGGATTCCTGGTTTCTAGCAGCGTAGCAGAAGAAGAAGATCCCAGCATTACAGCAATGCAGATCACATGGTCACAACCACGCAAGAGCTTCGAAAGAAGAAAAAAGTGAGGACTATGAGCTGGTCAAGCTCTTGACTTGAATCCAACAGAACACGATGGGTTTGTAAAGAGGAAGGCGGAGCAACACAACCCACATAACCCGTCATAAGCAAAATAAATGACTTGAATCTCAGTAAGGAAAGGTGTACTGATTTAATACAAGTTCTGAATCATGTGACCATCAGGTGCTATGACCCACGAGTGTACTCACTTCTGTTGTATACTGTCGGTGCTTTAAAAGTGCCGTGTGTTGTAGCTGGCAGCTGTCTGCTCCTTCAATCAGCTTCTCATCACGACTACTTAAAATAGGAGATCTGGACTTTGTTGCTGTTCCACGTGGATCTGAGCTGGGCAGCAGCAGGTTTTACCTTCAACCAGGAGACACTCCAGTGAGGACACATCTGTGAGTATTAGCACTTACAGCGTCCGGTTCATTTAACTCCTGCAGTACCCGAGGTCCTGAACCCACAATATGTCTGAAAGTGTCTAAAATCTGGGCAGAAAAGGCAGAAGTACGTTTGTTTTAATAACGGATGAACGTTGCATTGAGTCAGCTCATTACTGAAACACTAGAGACGACAGGTGATCAGACCTGGTGTGCTCATCCTGTCTGACTGGTGCTCAGTGGACACCAGGAATCGTAGGTACGCTGTGAATGATGGCTGTGTGTGTGAAGCCATGACCCTGTAGTCCAGGTGTGCCCAGGTGTGTTAGCCACGTAAACCAGATCATTTGTCAAACAGCAGACCATTTAATGGCAAAAGGAAAAAGTGTTAGCGCTGACTCAGGCACTCGTACAGTTCACTCTCTGACCCTCTCTCTGTGAAACTACAAGTAAGAAGAGGGTGAGGAGGCTTCAGGAGAAATCCACCTCTGAACAAAAACCACTGATCACTGTTATGATCTAAGACAAACATCAAATCTACATGTCATGACGTGACAGGATACAGCCGTGAATCTTTGTTCACATTGATATAAGATGCACAGATTCCCATATGAAGGACTTTCAGTCAGTCAGAGTCCCAACCGTGTGAGGGTCAGTGCCAGATGCTGCTCGTGGTCTTTCTACAGGCCGCACTGGGACTGCTGCCGGTGTCTGCGGACGCTACACATTTGGCTGAAGGACTGTCCACAGCGTGAGCAGCTGTAGGGCTTCTCCTGTGTGTGAACTGTGCGATGCCTCTTCAGATGGCTCGATGAGATGAAGCTCTTCCCACACAGCGTGCATCGGTAGCGCCTCTCCCCCGTGTGGATGAGCAGGTGGACCCGCAGGTTGTTGGGCTGGGCAAAGCCTTTTCCACAGTGGGGACAGGTGTACGGTCTCTCCCCCGTGTGCACCCGCTGGTGCAGCTCCAGAGCAGCTGCACTGGTGAACACGCGTCCACACACAGCGCACACCACCGGCTCCTTAGCAGCGGGAGCACTGCTCCTGTAAGGCCGCCTCGGGCTCGTGGCGGTGGCAGAGGGAGCTGCAGGGGGAGGAGGTGCAGGAGGAGGTGGAGGTGGTGCAGCTACAACAGCAGCGGCCGCAGCAGCAGCCGCAGCCATGTCAAAGGAAGCGGCGAAAGCAGCCATTTCGTGAGTGCCTCCTGTGAAGAGCATGGTTGGGGGGCCATCCAGACCATCTCCTCCTTGTGAGGAGAAAGAGGCAGAAGGGTGTCCAGTTTCTGAGTTCCCCAGACCCAGCTGTGCTACTGCATACGCTGCACCAAGGTGGCTGACCCGCTCCTGCATCCAGGCCAGGTCCAGGCCCAGGCTGTTGAGGCGGTCAGGGCTGGGCTCATCTGCAGCCACAGGGGCAGACAGCTGAGGGGGATGAGCTTCATTTTCTGTGGTGTTGTCGGCCTGGATCTCTGGCTTCACAGCACCACTCTTCATGCTCCCTGTGAGCTCCCTGCCAGCAGCTTCAGGGACTGGGATGCCGCCACTGCTGGCTGTCAAAGTGTTGCCCAGAGGCTTGGTGGCTTTACGTTTTGCTCGAGGCCTGCAGGTCAGGTCCATCGTGGCATCAGTGGGAGAAGAGGACGGCTGGGAAGTGGTGGAGACAAAGTTGGTGACACTGGTGTCCAGAACAATATCAGCGTGGGGCGTTTCCTCACTGGGCTCCAGGGCTGAAACACAGGCACAGAGAGACAGGAGCTAAAGGATGAAGGGACATTCATTCAGAAACATTACTGTGGTATTGATTTGCTTTTGGTTTTTAAAAAGCCAGAGATGGCAAAAGACAGACAGATTGGACAGAAAGCAGATACTAGAAATAAATCAATCAGAAAACAGACACTGTTTGTACGTCAGGGAGACGAGCAGCTCCTCTGGACAGGACGCAGCAGTCCACCCACACCAGAGGGATGCAAACTGAACGCCCTATGAATGGTGTACCAGAACACCTTCAGGCTGTAGAAGCTACATCTGTTATAACGTTAACTGCAGACAACACAGTGTACAGGTTTGCTCCACTGTCAGGGTTCGGGTCAGGGTTCGGGTCAGGGTTCGGGTCAGCTCCACTAAAGGAGAAGAGTGACCAGACCTTGCAGACACTGACAGCACACCTACCCAGAACAGTAACGGTGGAAATTTCCAAATTTACTGAAAGGCACAACATGCACGACATGAAAAGGGAAAAAACGTAAAAATGTCAAATAGTACAGCCCAAACAATGACACTGGGATGATATCTGAAGCAGCCAGAGAGAAACGAGATGCCTCCAGACTAGAAGACACTTCAGACAGCTGGATGAAAAACACAGATAATCATAAGAACCAGATGAGGAACTCATCAGCCGAAGCTATCTGACTGCTCTGACTCTGTTGCTTTGAACAGGTGATAAACTTTGCTGCGAGTTTCCAGAAAGCCTGATGTAGTCTGAACCCTGTGTAACGAGGTATGATTGCTGTGAGCCCCAGTTAGTAACAGAACTTTGAATGTGTGGTGAACGTTGTGCCAGAAAGCTTCATACCAACGAATGAGCCCTGAGCATCATCATCCTCTGTCTGAGCAGGACTCGGTCCAGCGCAGGCTGTTGTCTCATCAAGGAAAGAATCTGGTCAAGTTCTTATTGCAACTAAGAAACTTATTTATACGTTTATGAGGGAATCAATTCAAGAACGAGCCAAAGTCAGCCGTCGCTGTGCTGCACCGGGATGGAACCAGAAGAGTTCAATCTGGACTATGAGTCCATCGATCTCCACCTCAGAACCCAGCTGAGAAGAACTGAGGCTCACCAAGACCAGGTCCTGAACCTTAAGTCAGACCGACAAGCTGACAAGGAGGAATGGATGTGGTGAAGAAGAGACGGAAGCAAGTCCATGAGTTAACGGTGTACGGCCGGGCCAAGCCGAATAGCACCACCGGTCCAAAGCCTGGTGCTGAAACAGAAGCCTGCCAGGTCGACACCCAGAAAACGAATCCAAGAAGAAGCAACTGAAACAATCAAGCAAACCAAGCGAAGGCCTACAGCTCCTCATGGTGAGAAACGGTGTTGCACAAAGACCTTCATAAGCTGGGCGGAGTCATCCGAGTCCTTCTGGGGACCATGACATCCATGCTGACATCCATGCTGACTTTCAACAGGATGGACTGGACCAGGGAAGCAGCCATGATGCTCTTTATCTGCTCTGGATAACCTCCAGCCCTGAGACAGAAGGCCAACGTCAAGCTGCTACCTGAAGCACTGCTTAAAGACTGATCCAGGATCAGAGCGTGGTCTGATGGTCAGAGTGAACATCTAGCAGGCAGAGAGGAGACTCCTCCAGCCTGTTACAGCTGTCTTTGCAAATTCTGCTGTGAAATGAATCAAGCACCACATTCAACCACTAAAACTCCTGTTTCTGTTCAGGAATGCAGGTTAATAACTACAATCTGACGTCTTCACCAAGAAACAATAATGTGCTTGACTACTAGATTTTACATCCTAGAGACAGAAGGGAGACCACGGCTGGTCTTCAGCCAGAGATGATTCTAGATCAGAGTCTGAGAAAGTCTCCAGAGGGACCATAAGAGACGCCTGATGGAACAAGGCTTAGAGGGAAGAAGAGCTGCTGAGAAGCCTTCGTGAGGCCTGCAGACATCCAGAAACACCTCAGATTAGCCGGAGAGCACAAACACTGGACTGCTGATGACTGGAAGAAGGTCCTCTGAGGTCCTCTCCTGTTTCTGTCCTCAGAAAAGCTGGAGAACGTTTTGATGCCAGATGCAGCCACAGTGGAACACGGTGGAGGTTCCATCATGGTGTGGAAACAGCGTGGACAGACTCGTGAAAATCAACATTATGATGAACCAGAACGTCATCACAACACCTTAGTGCATCATGGATCCCTTCTGGACTGAACCTGACTGGTCCTGGGTTCATACACCAACCAGACAACGAGCTCAGCAGAACTTCAGAGCTGTGCAGAGACCATCTGACCCAGAAGAAGGAATCTGGAGTTCTGGAACTGATGGACCGGCCCAGTCAAGGTCCAGATTTGAATCCATCCATCCATCATCTCTACACCTTCATCCTCACCAGGGTCATGGGGGGCGGAGCCTATCCCAGCTGACTCAGGGTGAAGGCAGGTTCACCTGGACAGGTAACCAGTCTATCACAGGGCTACACTTAGAGACAGACAACCAAGCACACTCACATTCTCACCTACGGACAATTTAGAATCACCAATTAACCTCAGCATGTTTCTGGACTGTGGGAGGAAGCCGGAGAACCCGGAGAGAACCCACGCTGCACGGGGAGAACATGGAGACTCCACGCAGGAAGATCCCGGGTGTCCTCACCGGGACGCCAACCGGAGACCTTCTAGCTGTGAGGCCACGGTGCTAACCACTGAGCCACCTGCAGCCCTGATTTGAATCCTATTGAACAAGTTGGGATGTAGTACATTCAGAGATGGATCCACGAAATCTAAAGCAAGTCTGTGGGAACATCTAGAAACTATCTGGAGCTCAGTATGGACAGAGACTGTTGAAGAGTTCATACAAACCCAGCCAGCAGCAACACGAGCTGCTACCGAGGCCGAAGGAGGCCGAAGGAGGCCGAAGGAGGCCGAAGGAGATATGAAGCTCTCTGGCTGGTATGTGTGGAAAAGAACTATTTAGAGGTTTCTGTTTGTTGTTTACCAAATAAACAACAACATTTTGAGTTCTAAACAAGTTTTTGAAAGTTTTCTAAAATATTTCTGTTTCCTCGTTTTCATGACATTTGGTCTAAATCATTCATTAAGCCCTGTATATCTACAGACACCTGATTGGCTGCTGCCATTCAACAACAACAACATTCTAGAATAATGCATCCTGGGAAACCGCATCTCCCGCTACACGTATGTCTGTCAGAACAAGATGTCTGTACACAGCTAAAACACACTTAATCTGCAATTCTAGTGTTTTGTTTGTTACAAACATGTCTGATTAAAACACGTTTTCCTTCATTAGTGCAGACGTGTGACATCTGGTCTGTCACTGCAAAAAACTTTAACTCGTAATGTTAAGACCAGTGCCAGTGAAGGATAACACACTTGTTCTGTCAGATGACCTCATCTGGGTTTAAATGAGTTCATTATTGAACCAACGTTCAGTTTATTTTTAAGAGAGCTGCAGTGAAACATGCTTTAAACTTTCCATCAGTTGTCCTTCACTCTGCTTATTTCACACTAAACACTGAAACCATATCAGATTTACCAACAGATCACCGATTGAACCGTTCAGAGAGCTACACTCACCAGTCGAGAGGCCACACTCTGCCCTGATGTTTACCTCCACCTTGAGGTCCAGGTTGCAATCATCTCTTTCCTCTTTCTCCTGCTTTACCAGTGGAAATACCTTCACTTCATCCTGCTGGGTCAAAGTGAAAAGCAGCTCAGACATGACAGGACATATCTGCACTGACCACGTTCATGCATGTGAGTGATTTAAAGTTAATGTCAAGACAGACAAGTAGGTCCTCCACAACATCTGGTTTTATGTATGACTGTGAGGCAAGCTGCAGGAAGCACCTCAAAAGGTTTTCCTGTTTACCTCCAAGACAGAAAACCTGCAGTGAGCCAGCTGAGTCAGAAACACAGGAGAGCTCATGTATGAAGAGCTTCGTCCGTCTCTCCTGTGATAACGTTCTGGTGAAATAACATGATGTCACGTCCATGAACACGGAGTCTGGTGTGCTCATGTGGTCTGATCTTCTTTGTTCTTTACATTTTTCAGCTTTATTTGACCATCAGACAGTAAGACCAAAGACATACACAGAGGACAGCATGAAAACAGGAAACTATAGAAGCTATTTCAGAGACACGTCCTCTTTACCCTGCATGAGCTGTTTTAGGCTTAATGCCACTGGTCAGTGTTTAATGGGCAGTTCTGGGATGAATCAGGCAAAATACCCTCTCATGGAAAAAAGAAATCAGTATTTAAAAAATGAAGAGGACAAAGAACATAACTTACTTCCTTATCGTTCATTAGTTTCACATCACGTCAACAAAAATACGTATTACACACGGTTTAGCTCTGACATTTCCTGATACCAAAAGTCTGCTTTATTTTCATACCAAAATTTGCTTTCATTATTATTTACAGCACAGGACTTGCAAATAAGCAAAGAAATAATAAATAAACTGTGGTCCAAAGTTGTGAACATACAGCGCCCTCCAGAGTTATCGGCAGCCCTGGTTAAGATGTGTTAGAAGCCTTAAAATAAATTACATTTCTATTGCAGAAGCATGCTCTCAAAACGTAACCTTCAGTCAAACTCAAATGAATTGTTGGCAAAAGGAGGTTGTTCAGAGTATTGACATCAGGCTGCTGATAATTGTGGAACACATGATTTGATGTAAAAGGATTAGTTTTTAATGTGGGATTTTTTTCACACTGAATAAATGCAAAAAACTGAATTTACTAGAAGCTAAAGAACACATCTTAACCAGGGGCGCCAATAACGATGGAGGGCGCTGTAAGAACATGAACATCACTCTCGCTCCCTCTCCACACCAGAAAGCAAATACAGCACTTATAGCAGATGGAGTGCCTGTTGCTATGACGGGCATCAGGTGTGGCACGAGGCCCTTTCTACCTGTAAACGGAGTCACATCTGACAGATCCTGAAGGAGTTTTGAAAAATGGGGTTATTGCGTGACATGGGATGGGATTTCTTTGCGTGATGTCTACCTAGTTGTGGTTCACAAGCAACTTCTTTCACATGTTGACAACCTGGACAGCGTCCAAACACCAGCTGATGCTGCAGGAAAGGGTTAAACTAGGTTCCATGTGTATTCAACAAAGATGCATCAATCAGCAGCTTTAAACCAATCAGCACATTTCCAGAAACAAAACCGCTGAATTTCTGTTTACACCAAACTCTGTTCATTCATGAGGGGGTTTCCTTCAGTGATGCATAACCGTTAGTTAAAGAACACATGATGGTGGTGAGCTGACACCAAGCGGTCACCACAGTGTCACATTAAACATCCCCAAGGCAGGGTTTTTAAAACCAAGGAACATTTTGTGCTGACTGTCACAAAACCTAACGTATAAGGAGTTTACATTTTCAACTCTTTCCACCATATCATAGAAAAACTGTGGGTTATACATTTGACGAGCTAACTAGCTACCTAGGTACGACGACCAACGCACAACTCAGACCTTTATCTAACATTATTGATCTTTGACATTAATCATCATTTTGAATTAATGGAGTTAACAGAATACGAGGTGTGTCAGAGAGGTTCCAGGACTGGTGTCACAAAAGACATATGTCCAATCCAAACTCCAATCTACCAGTGTTCTCCTTCCCAGTAATCCCCCCTGGAGTCACTTCTCCAGCCTTCTCTTCACTCCTGGAAGGATTCTCCAGGATCCTCTCAGCTCCGTCCTCACAGCCATCTTGATGTCGTCCACGTCTTCTAAACGGGTCTCCTCGATGAGCCCTTGAGCTTGGGGAAGAGGAACCAACCCCATGGAGCCAGGTGGGGTGAGTAGGGAGGTTGCTCCAGCACGGAGATGTTCTTCTCAGCAGGAGCTGTGGGATGCTCAGGGCGCTGTGAGCAGGTTGTCATGGTGAAGCAGCCTCCACTGGTCCTGACACAACTCTGCCTCTTCTGGACGAAGCAAACGCTGCAGGACCTCTGTAGACGAGCTGCTTGATGGTCTGAAGAGGAAAATTAGTAGTTTGGGTTTGAAATCTATCTTTTGTGACTCCAGTCCTGGACCTTTTCAGACACACCTCATAAGTGCGTCCATCTGCCCTACCACCACTCTGACTGGCTACTCCTGATTGGCTTCCTTGGTTAAGAAGAGGCAGAGAAGAGTATGGGCAGGACAAAATACCTCCATGCAGAAGGTTAGCCAAATCCATGGATAAATGTGTTTGTCAACCCCTTCCCACCCTCCCAAAAAAACTCCTCATATCGGCATAAATCTTGTAGGTGACCTATGCTCTCAAAACGACACGTTTCGCTGAAAGGTGAGGAGTTTGCATCTCTGAAGGTCCTACACAAGTATGTTCTCTGACTGTGATCAAACACTTGTCTCTACTGCCCATGCAGGCGAGGATCTCCACATCCAAACTGTTCAGCTTTGAGCTGCCCAGTACAAAACTTCCAGATGTGGCAGATAAAGTCGTCCACATTTCAGAACGGTTCTACCTTTAGTCCTTGGGGGTTTGTACACAAGATTGACTGGAGTTTGGTCTAACTGATGAAACACTTTTCCACTGAGGTTATTGATGTGTCCTCTGCCTATATTTCTATGTGCTGAGTGGAGTGAAGAGCTCCAGAGTAAAAATCAACAGACTGTTTGGCTCTATTCAAACCACTGCCCTCATTAATCTTTACCTTTGAAATGTGCAGAAAGGGTTTGTCATCAGGAGCAGCAGGGAGAGGCGGCACCAGAGGCTGATGGTTGTCAGGTCCTGAAAAGTAACACAGGACACCGAAAGAGTGATTTTCACAAACGTCTCTGCCTATTTGGCAGTGTGTTAGTTAACCCCACACAACCCATCAGTTTCTAGCCTCAGCATCTGAATGAGCGCCTACATGGGATGGGACTCCTATGAAGCATAATGGGCATGTGAAAAAGACTGCTGGGATTCCCAGATTGCCGAGGAGGACTGAATGACTTTCATTTTTCTTAAGTGTTCCTTCGGGACAGTTTAAATCCTGGGTCAGATGTGCTGGCGGCTGTGGCTCAGGTGCTAGAGCAGGTTGTCCTCTGGTTTGATCCCCCACCCCTCCAGAGTTGAAGGGACACTGAATCTGAAGTTGTTCCCAATGGAGGCAGGCAGCTTGCATGGAAGCTCTGCCCCCAGACAGCGGTACTGGAGACGCTTTTGAGCACCAGTCAGGTAGAAAGGCACTACATAAGTGAATTTGCCGTTTGCTGCATAACATACATCCAGAATTGCAGCCTTTGATATTTGCACTACTCCAAACAGCCATTTCGAATTAAAATTGATTGATTGCTCAACCCAAGTGGCTAGAGAAATATTTGATTGGAATATATCTACTGGAGCCAAAAAAGCAAATGTAGAGGAGTTTGAATGTTCAGTTTAGGTACAATGCATGCTACTGAGGGCAATGACAGTTTGGTAAATGCCAAAACTCAGTCAACCAGGTCACGCTGATTTTACAAGCTTCAGTAAAAAGCAACTGGACGTCTCTTTTAGGTTCTTAAGGACGTTTCACCTCTCATGATGACTGAGCATCTACACAGGTATACTGCCTTGTACTTTGGGATAAATATCCCTCACATGATGCCAGAGTATGAGAAGCTGTCAAGGAAACCTCCAGACTGCAGGAACCACCTCTGTTTCAATCTGAGATACAGACAGCACACATTGGTTGCCAACAGTTTATGTCTTGGCTCTCAAAAGCTGATCCAGATACTTTTGAAGGCATGAAGCCGCTACAGAGTGAAAACAATAGGCCAGGTCCATTTTTCTACTGAAGCACTTCAAGACAGGCATAAGCAGATCCTACAGAAGCTGACAGCATGCCTCCCTAAGGCAGGACTGGAGGAAAGTTCTACGTTTATTTAAAAGGCACAGTTAGCACCAAACACAGAGGACAAGGAATGACAAACACAGAAATATCAAATTTACAGTCAAAGACAAACAACTCCAGGTCAAGTTCCAAACCAGCTGGAGAGAAATAAGCAGAGTCCACCTGAGTAGACTCAAGACGTGGGTGAAAATCCACAGGAAGACAAGAACCTAACCGAACAGAGAAGGATGTCTTAGCCAAAGACTGGACTGGACCATTTCCCCACAGCAGGTACCAGGACCAGGACCTTAACACAACCAAGCATGTCTTCACAGAGCTACACCAGTTCAGTGGTTGTAATGGTAACAGCTTCAACTGTGCCTCAAGCCAACAAAGTGGAGTCTGACAACCAAAACTATGGCAATATTAAAAATATACCATTTTTTGTTATTTACTTTATTATATGTTTTAGCTAGCTACACAGGGCTGGACCCCAATAACCACATGTCCCAATGTTCGGTCACTGTGCTGGTATCCGGAGAGCAATTTGGATCTCCAAATATTCTGCTGCCGCCAGCTGACAACTCGTCAGAGGGGTCAGAGGAGTCCTGGTGGCCTCCTCACTCCGTTACAGAGGACAGCCTGCTCGAAGCACATTTATAATGTGCCACATGCCTGTCATTTCCTATTGATGGATTTAACTTAAATTTCAAGGCAGATTTCTTGTTTCCATCGTCTGACTGCTGGTTTTCAAGAAACTCTTTTACAGAGTACTTTGGAGTGTTTGTCTGTCTTCCTGGTGTAGTTATAGGCAGAAGTATTGATTGATCAGTGACTGAAGCTTCCAGGTACAGGTGTCTGTGTGTCTGATGCATGACTTGAGATGCATTCACTGCACCAGGAGGATCTCCATGTTGCTGACGTGGGACTTGGAGCGCCAACTGGCTGCACCGGTGTCGCATCAGCTCTATCACTTATTTTACATTTCAGATTTTTAACTGATTGACATTACTTTTTGAAATACATTTGAACTTGGACACAAACTTGTTTTGGTTTATTTTGTCATTTCTTGTGGATTTTTTAGGTGAGTTCTGCTTTATTAGCTGATTTGGAGGCTCTGTCTTGTCAAAGTCTAGTTTAGGGGTCCTCCTGAGCCATCGTGGGCTGGGAGCAGGCTGGTCTGAGGTAATGAGCACCATACCGCTGTGATGTGAGGACCTGGTTCCTGAGCAGGGACCGTGCCAGCTGCAGGCCAGCTCCAGCCCTGCCTCCTGCCATTTTCCATCTATTTACCTTCGGGTGGCCTAAAATGAACGGTGTGCATTTCCTCCCGCTGAATCCGTCTCCTCATCTTCCTCTCGTAGCTCCGCATTTTCACGTCCATCTCCCGCAGCTTCAGTCGCAGGGCATCGTTCTCCTTCTCGCTCTTCTCTCGCTCCTGCTCGATCTGAGCGCGCAGCGCCGCGTAGCCATCGTCCACCAGCTTGCAGATCTCTGCCACCGCCGAATTGGCCAGAATCTCTATCACTGAGGCGATCTGCGCCTGAAAGCCAACACAGTCCGCCATCATCACCAAGTCTGTCACGGTGCTCCCGCACGGACAGATGCGCGCGGCGGGCGGCAGCTGCTGCGGTGGACGCGCGTCAGCAGATCCACGCACGGACCTGTGACTGAAGACATGCAAAGGTTCGGCGTCTGGTTCCGTCCGTCTGCCTCCTCTAACGTGCCCAGGAATGTTGTCTCTTTGAGGTGCAAGAGTCGCTGGCTGATGACGTCAGTTTGTTGTTGAGCATCACTTCACAAGCTGC